TGCACTCTATCCCCTCACCCAAGTCATCGATTCATCGATGAATTTCCCAGTACCGACCCTTGAGGGATGCCACTGGATACAGGCCTCCAACTGGACTCTGTCCCATTGACCACTACTCTCTGGCTTCTATCCTTCAGGCAGTTCCCAATCCACCTCACTATCTGATCATCCAGAGCACACTTCCTCAGTTTAGCTGTGAGGATGCCGTGGGAGACTGTGTCAAATGCTTTACGGAAGTCAAGACAGACCACATCCACTGCTCTACCATCATCCGCCCACTGGTGATGTCCTCATAAAAGGCTAGCAGGTTTGTCAAGCATGACTTCTCCTTAGTGAAGCCATGTTGACTGCCCCTAATGACCCCCTTATCCTTGATATGCCTAGAAACAGCACCAAGGATAAGTTGTTCCGTTATCTTTCCAGGGATTGAGGTGAGGCTGACCGGTCTAGAGTTACCTGGGTCTTCCTTCTTGCCCTTTTTGAAGACCGGAGTGACATTTGCTTTCCTCCAGTCCTCAGGCACCTCTCCCGTTCCCCACGATTTAGCAAAGATGATGGCGAGTGTCCTGGCAATGACATCAGCCAGCTCCCTCAGCACCTGCACTTCACGCCAGAGAGGGAAACCACTTACATCCCTGGAAAAACATGGCAGGCACAAGTACAGGCTGGGTGGAGAATGGATTGAGAGCAGCCCTGAGGAGAAGGACTTAAGGGTGTTGGTTGATGATAAGCTCAACATGAGCCGGCAATGTGCACTGGCAGCCCAGAAAGCCAACCGTATCCTGGGCTGCATCCAAGCAAGTGTGGCCAGCAGGTCAGGGGAGGTGACTACTCTGCTCTCGTGAGACCCATCTGCAGTACTGCATTCAGCTCTGAGGTCCCCGACACAAGAAGGACATGAGACATGGACCTGTTAGAGTGGGTCCAGAGGAGGGTCATGAAGATGATCTGAGGTCTGGAGCACCTCTCCCATGAAGACAGGTTGAGAGAGTTGGGGTTGTTCAGCCTGGAGAAGAGAAGGCTCCAGGAAGACCTTCTAGCAGCCTTTCAGTATCTAAAGGGGGCCTACGAGAAAGCTGGAGAGGGGCTTTTTACAAGGGCTTGTAGAGATAGGATAAGAGGTAATGGCTTTAAACCAAAAGGGGGTAGATTTTGATTAGTTCTAAGGAAGAAATTCTTCTCTCTGAGGATGATAAGGCACTGGAACAGCTTGTTCAGAGAAATTGTGGAAGCTCCAGTTCTTTGATCAAGCTGATCTAGTGGAAGCTGTCCCTGCCCATAGCAGGGGGGTTGGAAGTACATGTTGTTTAAGGTTTGTTCTGGTCCCTTCCAACCCAAACCATTCTATGATTCTATCAACAATAAGAGATGTTCCTGTAAAGTCTGAAAGACTTTTTGCATGTTCCTACTGCAACAGAGTACGTCAAGGCTGAGTTTATATATTTTCTGGAGGCAACAAAACTGTTGTCATGAAA